GCTAAGTTGCTGTGGCTGGCCTCAAACTTGCAATTCTCTGCCTCAGCCTCCTCTGAGTTGCTGCTAAGGATGCTTGGCTTTATCTTTCTTCTTTTAGTATATACCACAACTTTCTTCTTTATTATTCAGCCATAAATATCCTATTAGTTGAAGCAGACTGGATGGAACTGGAGCACGTTATGAAAAGTGAAATAAACCAGACACCGAAAGACAAATACTGAGTATTCTTCTCAGGTAGATGCTAAAAACAGCCAATCTAAATGTATAATAGTCATCACTAGAGACTGGGAAGGTAGCAGGAAGGCAGAGAGGGAGAGCTGATGATAGGTACCAAAACATCCTTACATAGAAGTCGGTAGGTTCTAGTGTTCTACAGCACATAGATTATAGTTCACAATAACCTATAGTTCATATAGCTATGAAGAACCGGAAGTAATTACAAGGAAATGGAAACATTAATTACCCTGATGTGATCAGTATACCTGTGTTGAAATTACACGTTGCCTGATATTTACAATTATTATGTTAATAAAAATTTTAATGTCTAAATGTATGGAATGCTAATTAATTATCCTGATTTGGTCATTATACATTTTATACACCTGTTGAATTATCACCCTGTGCTCCATAAACATGCACAGTTATACAAAAGAGCCATTAATGGAAACTGACCCTGATGTTGAAGTTGTTACCAGAGTTCATTTACAGGGGCCGGGGTTGTGGCTCAGCGGTAGAGCACTTGCCTAGTGCATGCGGAGGGTGGGGTGGGGGGCGCTGGGTTCCATCCTTAGCACCAGGTAACAATAAATAAAATAAAGGTATTGTGTCCAACTACCACTAAAAAATAAATATTAAAAAAGTTCATTTACATACATTCAGAGCTATTAGAAAAAATATCTAAAGAATGAAAGGAAGAATATTACTTAGAATTAAAGAGAATAAAATCATGGCATTTGGAGGTAAATGGACGGTGTTGGAGAAGATAGCCAATCCCCAAAAACCAAATGCCAAATGTTTTCTCTGATATAAGAAGGCTGATTCATAGTGGAGTTGGGAGGAATAGACAAACTCTAGAGAGGGCAGAGGGGTGGGAGGGGAAGGGAGGGGGCATGGGGTTAGAAATGATGGTGGAATGTGATGGACATCATTATCCAAAATATATGTATAAAGACACGAATTGGTGTGAATACACTTTGTACACAACCAGAGATATGAAAAATTGTGCTCTGTATGTGTAATATGAATTATAATGCATTCTGCTGTGATATGTAAATTTTTAAAAAATTAATTTAAAAAAAGAATTAAAGGAAAGTATGTAAATGTATGTTACCTAAGTAACAAGATGGAAATTAAAAAGGGCATTTCAAAAATGAC